AAATCAGCAAAGCTCTTGAGCAGACCCCCTCTTCGGTCACCTCCACCCCAAAAACCCCTCGCATGGATTTGTCTCGCGTCACTGGCAAAATCAAGAAAGATAAAAAAGAGAAAGATCGTGTGAAGAGTGAGTGATAATTCTAGATTTTTTATTAACAAGACATAGCAGCTTATACATAGAGACCATTGACACACATTTATACACATATAAACCTAACAACAACAACAAACATATATAGATGTAAAGATATAGTAGTGTGTATACAGGTACAGTGATAAGTTTAAGTAATTGGTTAATTTAGTGTGATTTAATAGTATTCATTATTATTAATAAAACATTTCGGGAATGTTGCGGAGAGAGAAAAATATATAGATATAAACTCACTGAGTGATAAATAGTTACCAAGACCATTAAAACAATCATAATAATACTATTTATATCTAATTGATGTGTGATATGATTCTGTAGGCTATTGCCAAACTGAATTACATTTGATTTGCTTCTCCACCAGCTCCAAGAAAGAAGTCTGTGTCCGGGGTCAGTTTGGATCCTGATGGAGTCAAGGTTGAGGTTGGGGATCAGGTGCTGGTGGCAGGCCAAAAACAAGGGATTGTCCGCTTTTTTGGAAAGACAGACTTTGCCCCTGGTATGTCAATTTGTGTTTCCATAATAACTAATATGAAATGAGTCGTACAATTACCATATTGTGGGTGAGAATTTAGTATTTTGTGTGTGCATTCTTGTGATCAGGATATTGGTTTGGTGTGGAGTTGGAGCATCCCACTGGAAAGCATGATGGCAGTGTATTTGGAGTGCGTTACTTCCACTGTTTGCCCAAATATGGAGTTTTTGCACCACCTTCACGTGTTCAGAGGTAAAATCTTCAATTTAAGCCCTATTTGGACGAGACTAGTTTTTCAGGGAGAAATTTGTGTTTCACAGACTTTCTTTGCAATTTTAATCCTGTCCGAATCAGCCAAGTTACCTACTGTTTTACAGCAAACTCAATGGTTCTCAAAGAAATCTAATGGCGTCTGTATGTGAATTTAATCAGTACATGAAATCAAAGACGTCCAGTGATAAGAATTGTAACTCAAACGTTGTTTAGGAATCTATTCCTGTCCAAATTTGGCTTTATTTAAAAGGCAAGTGGAAGGCAATGGTCTGTTCATATTCTTTTGCCAAAACAGCAGAACATATAACTGTAAAAGTCGTGTAACTGGACTTTTACAGTTATATGTTCTGCCGTTTTGGTTAAAGAATATGAACGGACCATTGCCTTCCACTTGGATTTTATTCCTGGATAGCAAAAGCATTTGCAGGAAGGTTTCACTACAAATGAAAGGTAATGATAGAGTACCTGAACAATGTAAGGGGTTGGGACTAAGTAAATGTGCTAAAATACTACCTAAACCATCTGGTGTAAGATGATAAGGTGTATTGTGTAAGGTGAAAAACAGGGACACTTAGTAAAATGTCAATTTAAACATCCATATGTTTAAGTTGCTTAGATTAAGTCACCAAAAATCACCAGCAGTATGTTTTAATTAAAAAAAAAAATGTTTTATTGTAAATCTTGCAGAATTGCAGGGCCCAGAGATCCCCAGGCGGATGGGACACAAGTGAAGAAAGTCCACCAGGTGACTAGTAAGTATAGCAATAAGGAGCATGTTTATCAATTTGGAAAATATGTTTTTCCCTGTTTTTAAAGCAATCTTTTTCGCAATCAGAGTGTATGTATTTATATGAATAAACAAAACAAGCTAACATTTAGTCCTCCATTTTGCATTTATCTTGTCAATTTGGCATACAGCGCCCCTTAACGTCCATAATGTGTAATAGCAATAAGAAGTTTTCCCCTCTAGTTCAGCTGCCCGATTGCATGCATTAAAGAACAGAAACAGATCATTCTTGTTATGCAATATGCATCGTACAATATTTATATGAATGGACAACATTCCCACATGGCAGTCTCAGGTACATGTTTGTAACGTTTCAACCTCCTCTTCTCCACAGTGTCCCAGCCGAAGCGGAATTTTAATGCGGTGCGATCTCCGAAAGACATAACATCGGAAAGTTCCATATCCAGGTATGCTTGTGTCCCACAAGTGACATATCTGTTTTGGCCCCAGCTGTGAATCTATAATGTATGCTGTGTTAGAAGATTAAACAGCACTTTACTTTCAAGATTTGTTTCTGTTGTAGCAGGTTGCTGTTCTGTTGCTGGTTTCCCTGGATGCTCCGTGCAGAGATGCAGTCCTAAATCCACAGCTTACATCTTTAATTCTATCCCCCTTCCTCTTTCTGTTCCTCCTCAAGAAAAAATCTCACCCATTCTATGTACTTCCATTATTCATATGTGCTTCACTCTGTGAAATACCCAGACTGCTGTTCCACCCCTTTGACAGCAATTCAATAGCAAAAAAATAGTGCCTTGTCAAGTAACAAACGTCCTGCATTCCGATGATTGAAGTATAGACGAACAATCTTTTATGAAATCAAAATAAGGGAAAATCATCCCATCTAAAAGCCATGCATATCTCTCTCTTTTTTTTTTTTGCTAAACCACTGTTGGTAGATAATTGGCAGTATTCAAGCTTGCTAATACAGTCTTGTACATCTGTTTTAATTTGTAAAGGTGCTCTTTTGTTTTGTTTGGAAACTGTGCTGCTGTATTATGCACCTTTACTGTCTCACTTTTCAGTATTTTATTATATATAAACTTTGGTTTCTAAGTTTCAAATGCCTTTAAATGAACTAGTAGGTGACATTAGCAAACATCTAAAAAAAACATCAAATGATCTTATGCTCGTCACAATTTCTGCAGTCTGTAGTCTGAAAATATTCATGCTGCCAATGTGAAAAAGAACTGGGTTTTTGTCATCTGAGCCCAATGTTTTCTTCATCTACAGTGAAACTGTAAATGTGTAGATTCAAATATAGAATATCTTGCATGAAATAAGCAGGCATGGGCACGTTTTCAGGTCATTAACTGCTCTGAAATGAGGTGAGAGGCCTGCTTTAGATATCAGTTAATAACTTTTCATTCAATTAAAATCTACCATAAAACCAAAGCGCAAGCTCCATGATATAGCAAAAGCGAAATGACTGTATCTTTCACTCCAAAATATACTCTTAAGAATCACACTTCAATAATGCAATTCTTAAAAGGAGGCATGTTTATTCTTGACCTTTCATAAAAAACCAGGTGAAAATTAAAGCATTTGCTTATTTTGTAAACCGAAATAACCATACAAATCACAATCGTGTTTCTTTCGCCAAAAAATATTTAAATAAAAATAGTAGTAGTATAGTTTAAAGTGAAGAAAAATTTGCTCATTGTACAATTTATTTTTAACAAAAAATTAAAAATCAATCCTCATCTATCGTCTAAAGTCAAGAGATGCTAGAACAGACTACCTATCCCTTCTCACTCTCCCTCCATCAGTTTTCACTTGGATTAGTTTTGTAAAGGCTGTTCTTTAAAATCCTGATCATGAAAACAGTACGTGCTTATGATATCGTATTCAAGTGTGTGAGTAATAACAGCAATATTTACTCTTGTGTCAACATGCTATATGAATATGGAAATCTTTATGACCACCCTGCGGTAGCACAGCATGAGTGAAAGTGTCTGTCCGTAATTATAGATGACCTGGCTGGGATCAACCAACAGTATCACCACAGTGATCCTAGAGCGGGCAGATTTTGTCAAGGAGAGAATAAAAAAACAACGACCTTACTTGTGCACTTACCTTCTTGTGAACACCTGGTCAACTGCACTGGTTTACAAAAAAGAGCAACTTGCAAAATTGAAAATGTCCTGCTTGAGCAGATCTAGACAGCTTTTGATTTCTTCCGCCGCCATGCCATTATTTCATTGAAGAATTCTTGAATTTGTGTGGTAGGTTTAGCAATGACACTGTAGTGAGTAGAATAGTGCAACTTCTGGTGAAGTGCAAAGGTCAGCTCACAAAAAAAAAAAAAAAACTGAAATTGTGCATTATCATTTTGTGACTTATGGAGTACAGTATATTGCTTTTTGGTGACTTAAAGTTGTACAACGCATCAATATAACACTGTTATTTACCTTGATTTCAGGACAAATCACATTCTGTTTTTGATGCCAAAAGGAGAGTAAAAGTATGACTGTAAAGTGAAATTTCATATGTAACTCGCACTGACTGGCTCACCCTCCACGCTTTCAAGAGTTTCAGAGTGACATCTAGCACTGTCAGCAAAGCCTTTTGTCATTTTCTATCCAGTTTGTGTAATTGGTAATAGTTCATTTGTAAACATTTATTGGTCTGAGAAAATATATATTTTAATAATTTCACAAGGTACTTTTTTAACGTCCTGTGCTTTGTTTTCATGTTAAATATACTCTGTAAATCAGACTAACGTGGATCTTATTCATGAACTCAGTTTTGGATTTGATGGACAACATAACTGTACTGCATGCTGTGTATACATTTGCAGGTTTCTTTTTCCTACAGTATATCAGCATGAAAAAGCTCATTAATTACTTAAAGTGAAACTATCCTGACTATGGACAAATGGATAATAAACATTAGTGTTTTATACTTAGTTTGACTGTGTTGGTTTGGTTGATTACATAATCATCTATCTGTTTCTATTCATCCAGCATCTTTCACTCTAAAACATGTATATTATGGTAAAAAAAAAAAAATTGATAAGTTATGACAACATATGTTTTTACATTGCTTTAACTCAAAGCATTTTCATTAAGTTAAACGTTTAAGTCAATTTTAATGTAAGTTTAATCTATCTATCTATCTATCTATCTATCTATCTATCTATCTATCTATCTATCTATCTATCTATCTATCTATCTATCTATCTATCTATCTATCTATCTATCTATCTATCTATCTATCTATCTATCTATCTATCTATCTATCTATCTATCTATCTATCTATCTATATCCAAATAAGCCAAACTCAAGTTTATTTCACTGAGAAAATGTTTATTTAAAATTGTAAACATCTGTAAATGTAATTTTAAAAACAACGTTAAAAAGTAATCGAGCCGTTTATGTTGACGTTTCAGTCATGAATTAATCTGATTCCTGATGATCATCGGGAGCGCGCCTCGCGTTTTTGTCAGGGCAGGTTGTTTGTCGCTTTCTGCGTGCACGTCGATTTTTGAACCACACCTAAAAATAAATAACTGGATTATAGTCATTGTATATATTTATATTGAAATGTTAGCAGATAATACGAAATATTGTTCCAACTAAAGAGCGTCATCTTACCCGGACAGTTTCCTCGCTGAGGCCGGTGTTCTTGGCTAAGTCCGCCCGGGTTTCAGCGGTCGGGTAGTCGGTGAGCGCGAAGAGTCGCTCGAGCTGCTCCGTCTGGCTGTCGGTGAAGACCGTTCGGATTCGATAGCGCTGTTTCTGAGCTACAGTTGGGTGGCAGTGATTCTCAACTGTTTCACAACCTGAAGGCGATTACAAATTCAGTTAAAAACAATAGCCTACCAAAATAAATTAAATTAATTTAAAAATAAAGTTAAAAAGGCATACCTGATATGGCAAAAGGGCAAGGCCACTGTTGACCTGCATAGTAATTTGAATTAAAAGCTGGTTGATAATATGAGACTGGAACACAGCAGCTGTACATTCCTGCCCATGATGATGATGATGATGATGATGATGATGGAAAGTTCATCATCAGTGTTGCATGGTCACAATGACCTATAGGTCCATCCTGGGTGAGCAGGTCAAGTGTCGTCAAGTGCCCTGGGAAATCTTGAGAAGATGCTGGATGATCCAATCCAGGTGATTCAGCTGTTTGTTTGCTGGCATCTCCCAAGATGTAATCAATAGAGAAGTTAGAAAATTTCTGAGTTGCCATGTTCAAGTAGGGGTCCAGAGAAGCTGCACTCTCTCCTCTTGCTCTCCTTTAATAATGATATGGAGCTAGGGAGTTGTAGGCCTATTTGTACCCCCTGTATCTTTTTAACTGAGGTATTAATGTATTTATATCGGTCCATCAACACCTCTTTGTATAGGTGGAAGTCAAAGGAAATTAGGCCTACACTTTGAAGATCCACTTTGAAGATCATTAAACCCTTTTAACCTGACACTTGTAATAGACCTACACCTGTAATGATTCCTATTAATGTTTATTGATCACACTTCGATACTAAAAGTTACTGGTTTTGATTCCCCAGCGTGAGTTTTTCAAGGCGATCGTTATTTAGAACTTATCACTTTTATTGTTTTCATGGCGACGCGTCATTCCCTTTTATGTCATTGCCACTGCTTTTATTTATTTTTTCCTTTTTTATTAAACTATTCTAACTATAACATGAAAAATGTGATATTCTGATTGTCAAATATGTGTTTTGTTGTTTAAACAGCCAAAGCGCGAAAGCACATTTGAATTTAGCAGATCACATGACGCATGCACCGAACATTCTCAGTGATCTTACGGGTCGAAGTAATCAGTACCTAATAACAAAATAATAAGTTATAACTATTTAATTATTTTGATGTGTACAAAATACAATAATAAAAATGTCTCATTTGAAATATTCCTATGCATAAAATATACTGAAATGTTTTATTTGAATTATATTTTAGTATAGACTAGCTATAGGCCTAAAAATAAACCTGAACGCATATGGAAACATATATAATATATAAAATTATTATTTAATTTGGGCTATGGGATATAATCATGTTATTATATTGGATAAGGTTTATATTGTATTCAGTTTATCATAAAGAAATAACTTGACACGTTCAAAGAGACACGCGTGCTTTGAATTTGTGTCGCCATCTTGTGGTCTTATTTAGAAACTTTAATAAAGCTACAATTTTAACAGCCCTACAGAATATATATATATATATATATATATATATATATATATAATAGCTCCTTTTTTAAAGTCCCACTTTATTACGATACCTAGAAAGATAACATTGAATCCGCTGCAAGCAATAAAATAAAAAAACAGGGACTGCATTATCATATTATTACTAAACAAGGCCAATGTCTGTCTGTGGATAGAGGAATTATTCAAAAGCCTTCAGCGTTACATATGCGTTGCATGCCAATATATCAGGGTTAACTCAAGATTAAATGATCATGGTTATTTTAAAGCACAAGCCGCAGCTGTAGCTTATGGATGTCACAAGTAATGTCTAAGCGAGTGTGCATTTTACAAACCAGCAGATTCTCCCAATATAACTCAGCTTACATCATTAATATTCGATTATTTTTAAGCTACTTGGATTTACAAAGAATAAAAATCCCACTGAGCGGATATTGGTTTTGTCTCTTTGCCAAAGAGATCATTTGATAATCTACAAGGCCCACCAAGCACATACAAAAAAATACAGAATACTGCATGTCCTTCTTGACATTTTTTTTATTTTTTATGTAGGCCTATTAAACACAAACTTATTATCGATGCCCTGATGATCAGTTACAGGGATTTTGTTTCAATAATCTGTGAATGAGTGAGATCTTTAGGAATGAAAGGTTGGCCCTTCCATTGAATCTTGTAAGCTCTTTGATACATGTGGGACTTTCATTAACAACAACTTCAATTACTTTCTCAGTAGCAAGATAAAAGAGCATAGGCATATGTGTTTAATCAGTCAGTATCTTCCACTTCAGTCAGAACAGTCGTTCAAGTACGACTCACACTAAACAAACCTCATTTGCATGATAAAGGCAACATTCGGATTCAGAGCATTCAGCTGAATCATGTGGTTGACCCATATTCAGTTCTGCGATGCGTTTCTAGAGAACATCAGTGTGGTTGTAAGCATCCATCTGTACAGCCAGGATTTGCACAATGCCACTGACAAGCATTGATATGATTTGGGCCAATAGGCAATTAACAAATGCATGAACTCCAAATCAAACTGATCTGGTGATGGAATTCAAGCTCCAGTGAGTTAGATAGATGTGCATCCCAAAAACACAAAGGCAAGTTTGAATATTCTAATCTAAAGCAATCAATCCAAAGCATAGACAAACAAGAGCGATTTCGAAGGTTACTCTCTTGCTTTTCTCCATTGAGTCAAAGGTAAGACACTGTTGTAAAGAATATTCAGCCACAACAACAGTTCTCTATTGATTAGCTCAGTCATTTACTGAAGAAATAGGCCCTGATGGTGTCTTTTGCATAAACTGCATGTGGACAATGTTGCTCTGTTTATTTATAAAAATGACAGCTGAACTGCTGAACTGCTGCATTAAAGGCCAAGCTTCTCCTTGACTGTTCCAGATGGCTGGAAAAGCAACTCGTATCTCAACTCGTATAGGTAAGAGTGTCTGCTGCCTCAGGCCAACTTGATTTGTTGCCCCGTCACAAAGCAATTAGAATTATGAACTGTGTGTCATAGACTCGGTCAAGCATCTCAAGGTCAGCTTTTCAAATTCAACTCTACACCAGATATACTGTAAAAGCAGATCAAATGTCACCGAGTACATTTGTGCCAAGGAAAGGTATTTATCAGTTGACTGAAACCAGAGGAGTAACACAGAGGTTCCTGAGAAATATTCACATTTATACCATATGTAATTATGTCTTTTAATTGCAATAGCAATTGTAATATGCAGTATAAAACCAGTGACACAACTTGAAAAAAAGTTCTTATTTAGGGTGAATTCATTGTTGATTCGGACAATGTGTGAAATTTGAAAAAAAAAAAAAATATGAAATTTTCATACAAAATACTCTTTATTTTAAGGTTACATAGTTATACTTACTCAAATAGGTACTGAGTAATATTAATTATACATATGCTTACTATAGAGTTGCGGTTTGGGTTAGGTTTGTTTGTTAATGCACAATTTACTGTTATTATGTAGTGTGTAACTATGTCACCTTTAAATAAAGTGTTACCAAATTCTGCCATCATTTATTCTTGTGTCGTTTCAAAACCCATCACGTTCGTTCACCATTGGAAAATAATTGAAAGTAGGCAACTTTTAATTAAATCAGGGATATTTTTTCTGTCCCTTTATTGAAAGTCTGTTCACCCAAAACTCTGCATGAATGTTTTGAACTATAGATTGTCGAGTAAATACTTTCAATGGAGGGACAGATATTAGCCTACATCTTCATTTATGTTTCGAAGTTGAACGAAAGTGATTGAAACGAGATGAGAGCGAGTGAGTTCAGACCTATTGATGACAGAATTTTACATTTAGGGTGACTATCCCTTTAAGATAATCGAAAGCAGCGGTTAACAAATTGGGGTGCTATTTGTGTCCCCTGAAAATGTGTGAGAGAGAAAAAATACAGTGAATTTTTACATTAAGTAGCATAATATAAACCAAAATATACGGTAGCCTACATTCTCTGGAGAGAAATAAGTTTCAAGAGTTGCTTAATCATCTTTCTCCAGGGAAGACTACTGTGCTGTTGTAGATTTTACAGAGTAGGCTAGCCTTGAGAGAGCTAAACTGCTATTAACATAGACAAGATTCGGACAACTTAGCCTTTCTTTCTTTCTTTCTTTCTTTCTTTTTTGGGGTGGGGGTGAGGGCTACGAAGATAATATGAGGCATTTGAATGCTGCTTTTCCGCGCGTTTCTTTGCTGGTTGAAACCACGGTTGTAACAGTGGTGACCTAATTTCTGTGTGCTTGTGCTTTGACTCGTGATCTAGCAAATGCGAGCAAAGCTTCTGGTGTCCTTTGAAACCCCTCCAAAGAAGACATCTTATATTAGCACACTCATTTGGCACGCTTTGAGGTTTACAGTACTGCAACGAAAGGAAGATATTCACATAGCCCGAGATCAAAGGGTGACGTTGAATGTGTTAAACGGTTCACGGAACAACCAGAAGAGGGAGACATTCTATTAGAAGACCTGCATCTGGACGACGGCATTACATTATTACAATAACATTGAACGATTCATTGGAAGAATGGAGTTAATTTATGAGAACATAATTATGTCCTCCTTTCTGTTTGTAGGCTGCAGAAAAACAGCAAACATCTGAACACAGGTGAATATTAATAGGCTATGTAATTGCAAGTGCAAAGGGCATAGTCTTAAAATAATTGTATTAGCCAATATGCATATCTTATCATTGAGCTTGCTTATCTGTCTTCATTTATTCACTCTTCTGTGAAACACAAGCAAAGACATTATTAAAAAAATAAGCCAATGTTGTTTTGGACATCACTGACTTTATGGACAAAAAGTTCATACAGGCTACTTCAAAATATCCTCTGTTGTGTCCATATGGATTTGCAACTACAAGATTATGGGGAGTACATTTTGGGATGAACTGTCCCTTTAAATCCTCGTTCTTGGTGACTAATGAAGCTTGTGACCTTTTCACCTCTCAAACGCAATGGGCACACATCTCTATTGTTTTCTGCTCGTTCAAATTTGGCGGCTTCATGAATAAAGCAAGTAAATGCACCCCACTGCATAATTACACTGTGTTTTATTCATAATTAGCAAAATTGACTGATTCATTCTGACGTGAGCGGTGAATCACTGGACCCCTCCCCGCTCAGACGTATGAGCATATGCAGGAGCTGTACCTCCTTACTGGGTGAGAAAAGAGACAAATGGTGACTGCATGAGTGAACACGGGGTACATGAGTGAAGGTTGGCCGCCGGATTGGTGCGCCCTGGTGTAGTAGTGCCGTCTGCTCACACACACTCTTCAACGGGGATAAATGGTGTCCTGCCAAGTTCATATCCAGCAGTTGTCAGACTGCATGGCCCCTTATGGGACCTTTTTCTTTGTTTCCTTGTAATCAACAAAAGAGCTCCTTTGGGAGATCTGCCTATTAATATACAGTGAGCTAATCCATCCCTCCAATACAACATACATTCATGCTGCAGTTTCCTAGTCAGCAGCTTATTTTGAAAGAGACACAGACTGAATAAAATTATGTGTATATAGCATATACCTGTCTAGATTTATATATCTATATACACTTATTAAATAAATGCTGACCAGTCAACCATGTTCAATATTGAGGATTTTTTAAATCATATCTTAAATCACGAATTTTTATTTGTTTTACTACCTTTCCAGGTAAGTCCAGATAACTTTTCTTTTTAGATAACTCCAATTTTTGTTTGTTTATTTATATTGTTTTTGTATTATATTGAGTACTGTATCACCACACATGCAGAATTTGCACTTTCGAATAATAATAGAAATTTCCAATATTTTCCCTACAGCCCCACATGTTTCATAAAACGTTTCAGAATACAAAAATACTGATAAAAATACTGATTAAAATGGTTGCTTTAGAATGATGACATTGAATACAGCACCATCAGCTTCTGTAGCTTGTACAGCAACTGATTTTGCAGTCTATTTGTGTTATGAAAAGTAAATAATGAAATGTTCCTGAATGACGTGCAATATGAATGAAGAAAATATTTTTTAACGTACGCCTACTTTATCATTTTTTCTTGTTGTGTACTTTATTTTATAATAGTTTCTTTTCTCTTTTAAAAAATGTATATATATTTTCTTACAAAAATAACAATATATCATATTTTATTTCCGTAAATATCAATGCTTGAAGTCACGCAGAGTTGTAAAGGTGAGTAGGAGTGGATGAACTGGTCGGGGGCGTGGCTTCCTCTCACCTGTGTCAGGTGACAGTTCAATTTGCTTATAACTCAAAAGACTGGTGACTGCGTAAAGTGACCTACATCATAGTTTCTCTTTATCTCACAACACATAGCGTTGTTTCTTGTTTGATGTGTGTAAAGCATAGGTGGAATTTCAAAGTATCTTCTCCCTGCGGATAAAAACTTTTGCTCATATTTGATTGCTGAAACCCCGAGGGATTCCCTGAAGGAAAAGGCTGGAAGCTGGAGTGACAGGTTTGCACGTAAGTCTTAATTCTCCAATTTTATTGCTTTTAAAAAAAAAAAAAAAAATCGCTTTCAAACATTGTTCACGTGCTTTATCGCGTTTGTGCATTTAATAAGCGTAAAGTAAAATTATTTATACATGTATGGGTAGATTTTCGACGAAAATCATATTTAGCCTATCACTAATCGAATTTTTTTTAAATAGCTATTACTTGTTCTAGTGTGTAAACACAGGGACAAACTTTTTGGGCGATGTACCAGATGGTAATTACGCACGTGACAGTTTGCAAAGGGCGTGTTTAAGTGCTTTGCTTCTATACAAGCCATTGTTTTCAATGGTTTTTGTATAAGTGTTTCTGTTGTGGAATGGTATGCATGACTCACCAGTTGGGTGACAACACCAGACCAGGTTACAAGACTACTGCTGAATGTGATACTCCATGCCCATTGATTATTCCTGCAGTAGCATCTGATGCCTCTTGCAGTTTAAACTGGGCCTGTATTCAGGGTCAGAGATATTTTGTTTTTTATCTAATTAATTTTAATGGGCTTAAATAAATAAAAAATTAACCATAATCTGTCTGCAACTGCAACAAAATTTATTTATTTATTTATTTATTCATTAGAAATGTATATTATGAAATTATGTCCAAACTTGTGACTATATTTATTTTATATTTAGAATAAATAAATGGAATAAGTATTTTAATAAAATAGTTTCAAACATGTAATTTAATTAAGAAACCAATAAAAAGGGATTCGATTTAGATTTTTTACCTTCAGACGTCGTCTCCTTCCCCATATGTTTCTATCATTAATATTACAGATCTCTCTGTTGTGGTTGCCATCATTAGCATAAGAATGTAATTTAAAGTGTCGTCTGTGGTGGGAAAAACTGCACACTGGCTACTACTACATCATGATGAGAATATGAAAAATGCTAAATAATTAATGTTCAGGCAGCTGATTGTGAAACTAACAATTACATATTAGCTTTGTCATCCATCTGAGTAGATTCCAAGACTTCATGGCTTGACAAACTTGAATTGGTGTTTTATTTTATCTCTGTCTACCCGGGACCTTCCAGTGAGCCCTTTAAAAACAATTATAATCGATTATCTGATTTGCAGTCAATATTCCCTCTAATTTGATGTTTACGATTTCTGTAGGTAATTTGTTCAAATTTAGGCCTAAACCCAATGATTCGATTATGAGGCCCAACAAACCATGGTTTAAGCAGTGTCAGGAAAAAGTGAGCACGGAGAATAAAGTTCTCCTTCTCCTGCTTGTACATGTCCTGCTCTTTTGTCATACTGTTCTGGCTTCCTGCTTTAAGGACCCCAGAAGTGGGTTTATTTGAAGATTGCTGGTTGAAAGAAATGCATGTTGGTTTAAAAGGGCAAAAGAGAGCTTCCTGCTTTGTCTCTTCTTTCTAAATATCCCCTCCCAGACCCATTATGGTTCAGGACAGGGTATAGATGCATTCAACAAAACACACTTCTTTGCCAGAATGACACCATGCTGAGTTTAATGATGAATGGCGTCATGCATCGGTAGTAATTGGCCATTCAGTCTAATGCTGCTACTGGCTTTCATTGTTGGACTTTATTTATTTTTTTTAAGAGCTTTCTCCTCCCTGTTGCTTCTGGCCAGTTTCGATGCTGAAACTGCAGATGCCCCCTGAGCAGAGCTTTGTTTGAAAACCAGGAATCAGATTTCACCAACACTTGTAAAGGATGAATGACAGTTTTGTTTTCTGGCATGCACAGATAATGAAAGCAGAGAGGGATGAATGTGATCTGTAATTTAGTTTAATTTCTTGTATTTAAGTTTGCGTATGATAGTGAGTGTTTATTGTAAAATATATCTATCTTCTCTTCAAACTGATAATAATAGAGAGGTACATGATTTCTTTCTTTCTCCTGAGAGAATGACCTTGCTTCAGGCATGGCAAACAGACATTCAGCTTTGTAAAACTCACTGTCTGTCCTTGAATGAATTTTCAGTTGTCGGGTGAATGAGTCTGTGTTATTCTCCCTGAGCACAACACCTGTCAGACGTCTGCTAGCTGGGGAATCACAGCTGAGAGGGCAATCATTTCCATCTCTAGCATTCATGTGGATGAGCAAAATTCATCTTAACAAGAAGAGTGCCTTTTGGAGTAGCTTGCCTTTGGCTATGTGCTGCAATTAATGGATGATGTCCTCATTAAACTTTTGATATTGTCACAAAGCAGCAGATCTTCCTTGTCATCTGTTTGTTTTTGATTTTTGGAATCATCCCGTCTTAAGCATGGGAAATTGAGGCAATTCCAGGAGGATGCCGTCTAAGAACTCTCACCAGATTGCGAGTGCTGTAAATGGGATTAGAAGAAGCCTGGATTGGATTTGAAGGCTGATCTAGCTACTTTAATCACAAACGAACAATTTCTCAGAGCATTCGCCTCTTATTAAGAGAATTAAGGGCACAGTCGGGCTTGAACTAAGAAACGATAATGAACTGTAGTTTACAGGACCCCGGAGCGAGTTTGCTGTTCCGATGCTCTTTTGCCCTCTACACAGCTTGGCCTCTGAGGGGCCCAGGGAGAGGAGAGGAGGGGGGGCCTGGTTCATCTCTTGCTTTTGTGTGTGTGTAGTGGATCAGATCAGGTGTCTTGGCACTGGCCTTTTCTCTCTATCCGGGTGCTGAGAAAGGCCTGCTTGTTTGCAATTTGGGCCTGTGGCACCAAAGAGACAATGAGTGCAGTCTCTGCAGTCTCTGTGAGGACGGGGAGAGCGAACAGAGGGTTCGAGCTCAAGTGGTGCAGAGCACCAGGGTCCTTATCTCCTCCGTCTTCATGAGCACCCATTACCGGAAACACAGTTGTCCCTCAGACCGCCTCCGTGGGACGGTACAGACGGGAGTGGGTGGAACGCTGTCACCTCACTGGAAGTGTGTGCACACGTTTTCAATTAAAAATACATTTTCTGAACAGGTTGGCTCAATCAAGCTGAACTATTTTAGATTGTTGTAATTTTGTGACTCCCACTGAGCAAATGGTGTTAAAATTGTGCAGGGTTGTGGTGTTCGCCATGTTAATCCACAGGTTTTCTGTTAAGATTTTACATTGGACATTAAGTGGTGGCCCAGTACAGTTCCAGGTGTCTGTAAAACCTAAAATAAAAAATAAAAAAAAATAATAAAACAACTTTAGCATGCAAGTATATAAGCTTAATATTTATTAATTAATATTTACTCAGAATTATTAACCTAACTGAAGCTAAATAGTATTTAATTTTTTCTAATTTTGCAAGTACAAAAAGGCAGTTATTATTATTATTATTAGTTATAATTTATGTAAATTATTTTATAAATGTTTTATAAACTGTTATTTATTTGAATTCCCTTTCCAGTCCATACCGTAATTGTATAATCTTTGATAGTCAAAAGTGAACATTTTCCCTGTGAAAAATTTCTTAATGCTAGCTTGAATGTAACAACACCATTGCTTCATTTAGTATACGCTGACCCATGAATTTGCTAATTACCCCCCCTCCCCCAATTCGCACAATCTACCTGATCCCCCCCCCTGTCAACTGTAATATACTCTACACACTCCTGTCCTTTGTTAAAATTGGTGTTTTGCTCATTATGTTAAAATACCCAAATTCCAGCCCGCACGTTGACTAGATTGTTTACATGGTTTCAAAACTCATTTTTGAGGTTATGGTTGCGTCCGGAAATTTAAGGAACTGACTTGTCGCCTCGCTGCCCTATCAGGACTTCACAGGCAGCGTTTGCACTTAAAGGTACTGCACAAAACAGATTTTGGACAGACTTCTGAGGCAGTGTAACTTCTACACGGTAAAATAGAGAGAGCTTTGAGGATAACTAGAGCATATTTAATTACTACAATAGTAATTTCTCCCAAGAAATTACTTAAAAAGTGATTCGCATTGGTTAAAAAGTGCTTTTACACACAAACTGACCACCAAACGCAACTTTGAGACACCATTGTTACCGTTTAGCTCAGCTTTCACCGAATGGAAAGCACAGAATTGTGGGATACCAAAGGCAGTTAAAGATGCATCTATGCTGCCTTCAAAAATCAATCAGATGAAGGTTTCACAGGAGACAGGAAGTGAAGTTAACAATTGATACAGATGCGCCCTAATGACTTCCTACATTAGAGTGCACCCTTCGAAGGCAGTATTTTTAAGATTTCGGATGCAGCCTATCTTCGGTACACTGCCATTTTTGAGAAGAAAATACTCTGCTATGGTGTTGACTGAATTTGCACATGATTTGTCTTAAACCATATAAAAAAAAACACTTGATTTTCACCTCGGATTTTGATTTTCACCACTTTTTATAGGTTTTATTTCTGTAATTTTAGTAGTTTTATATAGATGTTTATTTGAAAAATAGAGATTTAGGGATTATTCATAGTTTTATTGCTTTTAGCATTGTTATTTTTCCTCTTCTTTTTGGGTCACCAGTTTAGATCTACTGATTGAGCATCGTTATCTTTTATATCCTTATAGACTCCTTGCTGTATGTTGAAGTCTTAGTCCATAATTGTTATTGTAGGAAAGTTAGTTTACATCTAGAAGGTTGTTCCATGAGTCTAAATACTATTTAGCTTTTCAGTGATGTGATTGATTAGAGACATTAGACATGCTGTTAAACCCATTTTTGTCCTCCTCCTCAAATTAATCAATAGAATGTGGGCAGAAATTGTCGGTTATACTTTTTGCTTGGCAGCGTGTGGAATGAGATTCAGAGCGAGCCCTGAACTTGGCAAAAGATTGGGTGTTTACTGCTTCGGATGGAAACAGCAACAGTCTGAGCTTTTAAAATGTTATGACCTTTCCCATGCTTATCATAAGCCTAGGGAAGTAATTGTGATTGGCCACCGAAAGGGTAACTTTACCTTTAGTTTGCCGTGAGGTTCATTCAGCGGCAAGAAATAAAAACGATGTTCTCTCCAGAGCGACATTCATGTTCTGTGAGGGTGTTTTGTGTCTGTACAGAGGTGTCATGTGGGAAAAATGGACTATAAAACCTGAATAAGTCATTTTGAGCGCCATTGATGTATTGAATGCATCATTACTTTTCATTTGCTTCCACATGCAGACTCATCCTGCATCACCTTTCACCTAAATGTAAGGGCTTTTTGTCCTCTGCCACACTCACAGACAGTTTGCGTGTTTATTCAACTCCGGCTCATTTAAATGCGGGCTGTGTTATGGAAAGATCCCCAGATGCACCTGCCTCGTCTGTTTCTAGCCAAACCACTGACACGAGCTGAATGGGATGACTAAGCATCTATAATCCGGCCTGTCATTTACATCCTTGGGGGTCTCATGCTGCTTTTTGATCCTGCTATATCTATATTAATTTACCATGATCCTTCTACACGACTTTCTTGCAGGATTACATGTATATGATTACTATGGTCAAGCTGTCCATGACTAGATTGGATATCAAAATGGTCACGTTGATTTTACATTTACACCTGTGAGAATTTGCTACACCCCTATTCCACATCTTAGGCTTGTATGACAATCTCCCTGGTTTGGTTTGTGTGTTGGAGCATTATGATATGTAACTTAAGCTGGGCTGCATGTACTGTTGGCCTACAGGGTGAAAATCAGTATGAAATCAGATTCTTAACGCCCCATTAACAGTCATTGTGTCACTGCACGCTTGTTGGGTGTCACATGTACACACCTGTTCCTCAAGACACAAGCTCACCGTTGAGATGGGATAGGCTGCATAAGTATGTTCACTTCTGAAAAGGTTAGGAACAGGGTATGGATTGCAGGCGTGTTTGCACTCCATTACTCCTTGGGCAAGAGCTTTCTCTGCAGGTTGTGAAAAGCAATAATGGTGACTTCGATTTTCAAACTGACTACCTTGAGACTCAGTCCAGTGCCTTAATGTCTTCCACTGGGGCAAACTCATGGCAGACCTTGAGAAAGGACCATTATTTTGTTTCGGCTGAGCCTGAAGTCAGTGTGTACCTACAGTAGAGGCGGCCGAGGTGGACGGCAAGGTTGCAGGTAAAATATGCCCATCTAACTTTGAGTTATTTGCTGGTTGGGCTTGAAGTTTTGAAAGAACTGTTCTCCCCAAGTGATCTCGCAAGGCAAGTCCTTCATAAATACTGATGTGGACCACTTATGAGAATGACGTAGGCTCTTAAGTTATTCTTGAACATTTTTTTTAAAGTGTTTTTCATGAGGTCAGCCCAAGGCAGTTTTTGGGACCATCACTCTTGATTGACAGCAGCCATGGCCTGGCATAGCTGACCTTGTTCTGCCAGCCACATTATGCAGGTATTAGAGTGAGGAAAATCTATTTGGCTTCTTTTTTCTGCCAGGGCTGTGGCGGCAGCGCCGTAACTCCTTTGGGTAATGGGCATAAAACTGATTTATTTTATTTTTGATGGCTGAAATTATACCCTAGAGCACAGGAGACTTTCCTCTGTGACTGAAAGTTTTAATTTGTTTGTGATAAACTACAGCTTTTCTAACCAGATGCACCGTGATCAGTGAACGTGAAATTCTGCTTTAGATGAGAGATTTAAAAGAAAACTATGCAATGGTGAACATTTAGCATAGGACTTTTCATTTTTGTTCAAATTTACACTTTGCAATAAGGTTTTATTATAGTTGACTACTTTAGTTAACATGAACACTAGTTAATGTTAATTTCAGCATTAACTAATGCATTTTTTAAATCAGTTGTTTGTTATCATGGTGAACGAACAACAAATGACCCTATTTTTATTAAGAGACATTAACAAAGATTATTAAGTACCATAAACATTGAATTTCTCATTGTTAGTTAATGTTAATACATTAACTAATGTTAACAAATGAGACCTTATTGTAAAGTTTTACCTTTTGTTCATTATTTTATTCTTCATATTTTTGAGGGGTTTTTTTATTATTTAATTATTTTATTGTATCTTATTCATTAATATATTTTATTTCAAGTTATTTATTCTTTCAATCATTTTTTTTTAATGATATCTTAAATCGTGGTCACCACTAATTTAAATTTGCACCATTTTAATAACCTTTTGGCATTACTAGTTAATTTTTAACACTGACAAATGGATTTATTTTGTCAATTAAAAGCTTTCGGAGTCATTAAAATGCAAATTTTCTGTTTAAAATGGTTTTTAAATTCTTCCTAAAATACTTCCCAAAATTATTTCAAATTATGATATAGGTGATTTTCGGCGAGGCTAGTTGCGAGTTGGCTATGAAAACATTAGATCGCACCCTCCCGTCTCCAAAGTCACGCCCCCTCTAAAACACATGATTGCGTTCAGCAGGGAACATACAATAATAATGAACATAAAGGACTTAAAGAGCACTGACCTGTACCACCTGACTGCTGCAGATTCATTTCGCCGTTGATAATATTGCCATTGAAACGCATAATTTGACTCTCAAACCGTTCTGAGTATATGTTACGTGTTTCCATCTCTTCCCAATTACAGTAGTTATGGTGTAAACGCTGCATAAGCACGTTGTTTTGGTTCAGGAGGAACTGTAATAGGTGGTCGCGGTGCTCGCTGACTGATGTCTCAACTCTGCATAGCGTGAAACAAGCTGATGATGTCTGCGTGAGCAGGGCTTCGGACTGAATGCAATGATTGGATGAACATTTTCATGGTCATAAATGTATATGTATGAATACATTTAGACGACTTCATGATTGCTATCGTTATGTGAAGAGACTTTCAGCTAGCATAACAAAAAAAATTTTTGTGAACAAATTACCTACCTTTAATGTCAACTACCCAAAAATAAAATTTCCACTCCATTGTGACATAGAAATGAATTTAGCTCACGCTGCATTAACATCCTCACAAGGAAGACTAGATACTGTAATTGAAAGAACTCATTTTTGACAACAGGGTCACACTATGTCCGTATATCATGCTGTGTTTGATCCTTATGAACTCTTTGTGTTGTAAACAGGTGGCGCTTGGTCATGCCAGGATGTTAGAAGAGACGTCACTCAAAGCCAGTCACCATGGAAACTCTAGAGTAGGCCCCAGAGGAAGTGATGAAGACAGACAAGAGATACAAACATGTGTTGATACGAACCACCAAAGTGGTCTCTACCTACAGTCCTCTGAGACCTGCTGTCCCACGAGATGCTTTCAACATGATGATTTGAATGAGTTCTCTAATGAGTGGTCGTTCATTGGAGACGTGAGCGAAGATGTTTCCTTCTCTCTTGAGGGCTGCGTCAAGTGAGTAGGCATCCATGTGTATTGGAAACCTGTCTGTATAACTGATCTGTACAGACTTTCCTATCTAATTGTTTGTTTTGGTCCATCAGGCTGGAGAGGAGGTGGATGCTGTGGTATGAATTCAAGAAAGAACTCTCCAGCTTGGATGACTGGCTTCGATCAGCTGAGAAAATGGCAGCGTCCCCAAACTCCAGCCATGTGCTTTATGTTACAGCAAAAGAGGAGTTACAAAAGTATGAGGTAAGAAGACATTGGGTCTAATTTCAGTGATGTTTGATGCTTAATTTTAGGGTTATTGACAGGTAAGAGTGTGTAAAGAAAAGGAAAAATCGGTATCACTTTAGAATACGGTTCCTTCATTAATGAATAACTACACTAGAACCAATAAGTAACGTAATATTAACGTATCTAGTATCTGACCCCAAACTTTTGAATGGTAGTATGGTTTTACTTTTTGAATAGTTTTAATTCTGTTCTTTTGAACTTTCTATTCATCAAAGAATCCTGAAATAAAAATGTAAAAAACTGTTTTCAACATGGATGATAATCATAAATGTTTCTTGAGCATCATATTATAATACTTTCTGTAGGATCATGTGACACTGAAGACTGGAGTAATGGTGCTGTAAATTCAGCTTTGATCACAGGAATAAATTACAGTTCACTATATATTCACATAGTAAACCACTGTTTTAAATTGTAATAATATTTCTTTATCAGATAATTGCAGCCTTGGTGAGCAGAAGAGACTTCTTTTAAAAACATAAAAAATCTTACCGATCTGAAACTTTTTATTTATTTATATATAGTCTGTGTTTACATAATATATTTGTGTGTGCTGTATATAATTATTATGTATATATAATACACACACATGCATCTATATATTTAAGAAAATGTGTTATTCATATATAAAATATTTATATAATATAGATTATGTATTATATATATATGTATATATACAGAATTTAAGCGCAAATTATTCTTAAATATATACATGCATGCATAGGTATTTATATATACAAAATAATTATATACAGCACACACAAATATAATATGTAAACACAGACTTTTATTTTGGATGCGATTAATCGCAATTAATTTTTGCCTTTTGCACAGCCCTAATATATATATATATATATGTGTGTGTGTGTGTGTGTGTGTGTGTTACTAGCATGTAAAAAAACAAGTCATGTAATGGGACCAAGTAAAAAATAACATGCATTCAGGGTGAATGGAAAATGTTTATATCTTAAATCTTAATGTCAATTTCCAAAAATAAACCATTTTTTTTCTTTTTTTGTTAACTTTTTATTCATTACAAATTCAAAACCATACACGTACACCACAAACACAAACAAAATGCTTTCACTCACATTACCTACTACACGTATCCTAAAATAACATACTTATCCATTCCAAACACTCTTATCCACTCCTAACCCGATTGGACCATGTACACTAAGGAGAAGAAACGAAAAAAAAATGTTGAGGCCTAGAAACACGGTAAAGCCACAAGTCTGACCATTTTCCAGTTTAAATCTGAGCAAATATAATTGCCCAAAAAAATAACAATAAATAATTTAGCCCTAAACTGTATTATTGTATATGATGAGTGCAAGGCCATCTCAGATTAGTCACTTTTTTGACAGATTAGTCACGTTTTGACGCTTTCTACAATGAAAGTGTAATCAACGACACCGACACGCTTACACTTGCACCGACAGCGCATTTACTCAGACTGTCTAGAAGACCGGGACTTGTGCCAGTGAAGATAAATGACACCAAATGGCCATCAAACTCATTGGCTCTCCTCCTAAGCACCGTTGTGCCTCCCTCCGTCTTAACCCCTCGCACCAATTTCTTAAAATAACCTGCTTTAGTTAATCAGAGAACTGGTGGGATTTATTTTTTACCTTCCGGTGGTTAATTTTACACTTTAGAGGGGGTTACCTCCTAGTTAATCGCATGATGTCATCAGTAACTAAAGACCGACTGTTTTTGTATCTCTTTCCAGAACCTGCATGCAGAGGCCAGGATGCGGTTAAACCAGCTGGACGGCCTGACTCAGAAGAGTCGAACTCTGGTCGGCCTGTTTAGAGGTACTATGGGCACACGGCTCGTAGAAATGATGAAGGACTGCGGACACCGCTGGGATCAGCTCAGTAACACAGTAGAGACTGTGCGCCGCAGGTTAAAGGTATATAAGGACCCTCGAACTACTCAAATGTGACATCTTTTAAAGCAAGCACACTGTAAACAATCAATGAAATTCATGGTAAATAAAATGGCAGCTGTGGTTGCGAGAACATTACCTGTAAAAAAGGTAGCAACATTTTAGTTATGCTACACTCTCAGAAAAAAGGCACAAAAGCTGTCACTGGGGCTGTACCTTTTCAAAAGGCAAACTTTTGTCCATTTTAGGTGCTACTATGTACATTTCAGGTGCTAATATGTACATTTTAGGTGCTGAGACTGTATGTACATTTTAGGTGCCAATATGTACATTTTAGGCGCCAATATGTACAATTTAGGCGCTAATATGTACATTTTAGGAGCTAATACCATTAAGGTACCAATATGCAGCCAAAAGTGTACCTTTTGAAAGGGTACAGCCCCAGTGACAGCTTTTGTACCTTTTTGTCTGAGAGTGTACCTGCATACAGTATGTCATTAACTGACATAATGTAAATAGAACAACTCACTAAAATCTGTTTTGTTGTTTTATAATACACCGACTACCATCAAAAACACTGGTGATAATGAAAAAAAGCCACATGAAGATTCAAAGCTCATTAAATGTTGCTTTTCCACAAGCTGATGTAAATATTAATATATAAGGTGTGCAGTGTCAAGCACACGCATTCAAAACACCATCATGGGAATACACAGAAAAAGAAAGATATTTCAATGAAAGAATTATCATGTGAAATATCACACAGGGATCTCTGTAAATTGTTTGATGATTTGGTCTTTAATTTCACAAAACTGTAAATTTAACAGCCATTTATCATTGAAAAAATACATGAATGTCCTGTTAGAACTGTTACAGTGAAAGACAGTAAATATATATGCTAAAAAACCTGAATGGTAAGTTTCATTACTAAATAGTTTTTTACCAGTATATTTTACAGTTTAGGTTCTCAATACATTGTTAATTGAGGCTGAAATACGTAAAAAGCACATGATTTTGAAAGGCGTTTTAGTTGCTACTTTCTACTCGCGTAAGTCTCTTCCCTCATTTTAATCCCATTAACTCTTTATCCATACAGCCCTCTGCTGCTCTGCCTGCGTTCAGCTTACATAATTCTGTCCTTTCAGCCGCAGTGACCCCTGCGCACTGTAGGTCTGTGCTTGGCTGCACTGCATATGCCCCCCCTTTACTGTGGGCTTCAGTGTCTGTTTTGTTTATGCCATTTCCGCTCCCTGTCTGCCACTTTGACATCCTTGTTATAATTTTGGTGTCTCCCTGTCAGTCTCTGTCTCTGCTAAAAACGGCATCAGGGTGTAGACGGTCAGACAGAATGATGCTCGCTCTGTCTGTGTGTGTGCGCAACAGCATTTGGTGTGCCAGCGGGAGGATTTTGAGAGGCAGAGGGAAGAGATGGCAGTGTGGCTGGCTGACATGGACCTCAGACTGACTGAAGTGGAGCACTTCTCAGGCAAAGACACCTGCTCAAAGATGCACCAGCTTCAGGTACTCTCAGGAAACATGGATCCGTGGATTGGTCCATGCAGAGAGAAATCTGATCTCTGTTTGTTTGCCGTCTGGGTAGTGTGGTTTGTGTTACAACAAGTGAGGATCTTTAACACCTAATTTACAGGTTCAAATCCCTGAAAGGCATTTCTGAGCTTTTTTAACCAAATATTAGGTCACTGAAAGTGTGAGAAACAAGAGACGTACATGTATTGCAAAAATCCTCAAGAGTTTATTTAAGTAAATGAATAATTTTTATTTTTAAATGAGGAGGGGGAATCAATTTCTTCACCCCAAAATCAAAATTAATACATTTTAAATAAAGAACTTTTAGTAGGACAATTAATATTTCTCTCAACGGTGCTCTTTTTTCCTTTAAGTCCAGACATTTTATGTTTTAAATAAAATCAATAATAAATATATTTACATTTATTCGCTTATATCCAAAGCGACTTAAAAATAAGAACAATAGAAGCAGTTAAACTAACAGTAGGACAACAATACGCAAGTGCTATAACCCCTCTCACTTTAATTTTAGTGCAGTTTTTATTTTTTATAAAAAATAATGATAATAGTTGATGATGATGCTGATAATAATAACAATAATAAAAATAAAGATATCACTATTATGATAATTATCATGATGGACTATAACAATAATAGCGATGATTAGGAGCATAATAATGGTAACGGTGATATAATAATAATGATAGTCGATAATGATTATAAGTCAGTATTATTATTATTATTATTGCGGTTGTTGTATTAATAATATATAAATAACGTTTAAATAAAAATAGTCTTTTTAAATGATCTATGATTAATTATTTTAAGCGTTTATTTGTATTTCAAATTCTAACCTTTTTTTATTTATTCCTCAGTGCTAAGAAAATAGCATCGCCGATATCAAATTTAAGCATAAACGTGCCTAATTGTTGTTGAGATTTTTGCTTTTGGATGTTTTAATGATTCTAAACGGGCTTAATTTACTTTCTATTCAAAATGAGTTGTTCTATTTGGGGGTTTATAGAACTTGTTTTCAAGGAAAGTTGTTGGATGTATGTGCATGATTATTAAACGCGTTTGTGTATATCTATCCCTCAGGGGTTTCAAGAGGCGGTTGGAGAGAGTGCAGGTAAACTGAACGATTTACTCCAGCATGGAGAAGAGCTTATCCAAAGGAGCGAGCCGGCGGACGCCCAGGCCATCGAGAGCCATCTGCAGGAACTCCTGCTCCACTGTGCCCGTGTCTTTCAGGGCCTGGGCCGCCTGCACACACGCCTGCTCAGCATGAGACTGGTATATATCCATGCTGCATGTGCACAAATGAGATTAAACTAACTTTCTTACACCTGGAATGAACCAAGATAAAGCCTGAAAGTCATCTCAGTCCCTTTTGAACTTGTAATTCAATTGCTCCATTTATATTGGTCTGAAATCAAGGTGCGTATAATCATTTCAAGTCATTTGTCGCCCCAAATATTGGCCAACTAAGCAGCTGACTGATTATATATCTGCAGTAGCATGCTAGCTTTTAGCTAATGTTTTTGTTCAAACCTCCATAGATTAGTATTATCACACACCATATGCACAATTGACTATGAAAACTAAATAAGTCCCTTCTGTCCCCTGATATTTCCCTGATAGCTATTTTTTTTTAATTGATAATTTGATTTGTGCCATCTCAAGTTCACTCAAGTTCACATATTTCAGAAAATTATCCCGAGGGAAATCTACTCAAGCATCCAACTTCATACGTTCTGGCAGAGGAGTCATGAATACACCCCCTGAATAGCCTGAATTGTTGTCTTGTAGCCAAGCAGCCACTGTACAATACATGTACTGTCCATTTGAACAAGTTCCTTGTGTGAGCCTTTGTCTCTTTAGGTCCAAGTGGATCACGTTAAGAAATGCTAAAAAATCTTGGGTTGTTATGTTCTTTATGCTGTTGGCTGATATAGGATGTTTATAGAATCCCACACCAGACATATGATGAATTGCCACAGTATATTTTCCATAGCTCTGAAAAAGCACACAATGTCTATGTGTAGGCATTTTCCTCCCTCACGCCAGTTCAGTATGTTCTCAGAACTTTCAGAATGAATTAGTTAAGTCGTACTTAAACATGAATTAATTGTGATGGATGTAATGTAATTAACTGCAAAATTATTTAATGTATAAGTTTTCACTTTTACTCAGCAAGGATACATTAAAAATTGATGATTGAAAAGTGGCAGGAACGATTTATTTGTATATGTAATGTGTTTTTAAACTTTTTATTCATCAAAGAATCCTGAACAAAAAAAAGTCATCACAAGCATCACAACTGTTTTCAACATTGATAATAATAAGAAATATGTATTGAGCTGAATTTTCAGCATCATTACTCCAGTCTTCAGTATCACATGATCCCTCAGAACTCTTTTTTTTATCATTATACTAGAATGATTTCTACATGAAGGGTCATGTGACACTGAAGACAGGAGTAATGATGCTGAAAATTCAGCTTTGCCATCACTGGAATAAATCACATTTTAAAACCTTTTAAAATATCTTTATAACTTTTTATATTATATTTCTGAGAGAAAATTGTTCATTTTCATAACAAAATAAAAATGAATAAATACTGTTTTGCTGTATTTTTGATCAAATAAATGCAGCCTTGGTGAGCATAAGCAGTTTCAAGGACATATCTTCTTCCTTCTATATAAATACCTTTAAACTGAAACGTAATTCTGAAAATGCAAGTGTTTTAAGATGTTTAATTGTGTTATGCCAGGTTTTCGAAGAGGACTGGGCTCTGTGTGCCCCGGACTCCGGCTGTCCCTCTGAGAGTATGCTGGAGGATGAGTGTTTTTTAGAGCGCACCATGCCGCCTCAGTCTCAGGCCTGCCTTCCTCAATCCAGTCAAGATCACCAGGTTCTGGAGTGGGACCCTTCGGTGGACATTGGTCGGTCAATCTCCCGGGATGACACGGACTCGTCCTCCTTCAGTGCTTCTGCAGGTAGGGATTGCCTCTGTAATATAATCCAATCTTCATATCCATTACCTGCCAATAAGGCCATGACGATCTAGGGGTCTGCTACCTGACCCGAGCCAAACGTTCTCTTTAAAGCCTGTGCAGATATCTATGGCAATCATAAAACTTTAGGTGGTGATTAATTGACAGGCAAATAACTTGTTTTTGTTCAATTCATTTACTTGACACACATACCTTTTTAGTTGTTTATTAAACATTACACTTGACATCATACATACGTAGTGTTATTGTCATTTTATTTATATACTATATTTTTTTATTCATATTTTAAATTGGCTTTTGTAATATTTTCAAAGTTTTAGTTTTATTTTGCTATGTGGTTTTGTCCTTTTATTATTATTATTATTTTAATATACACACACATTTCTATATAGCTTTAGCTGTATTAGTTTAGTATGTAAATAAAAAACATAGAAACAAAAACTTGAAATGGTGGATTGGCAATTAACTGAAGTTTTTTTCATTTTTATATTTTATTTGTTACTGAAAAAATTAATAGTTTTAGTTATAACACTGATTACACACACATTTATAGCTTTAAGTTTTAGCTGTAGTTGTTTAGTGTGTAAATAAAAAACATAGAAACAAAAACTTGAAATGGTGGATTGGCAATTAACTGAATTTTTTTTTTATATTTTATTTGTTACTAAAATTTTTTTATAGTTTTAGTTATAACACTGATGTCAGTAGTTTTCTCTAAATATTAGCATATTATCCAATAGTACCATTTCTGTCTTAAATTGATCATGTTCCGCACAATATTTCTAAGTGCATGTTAAAATAAAGGGAAACTGGAGGACTTTGCATTCACAATATAAATGAACACTTTGTTTATTCGTCCGTGTGCATGTGTTGTAAACCACCGCAGGTGCTCCAGAGATATTTATGCTTCACATGTGAATTACAATCAGGTGATTATGTAATAATCATGACTCCAAATGAGGACTGGAGGCTTTAGCCCTTTATCCTTTGTGAATGCTACACATTTCTATTAGCTTGTCACTTTAAAACAGAATTTAACTTATCTGGAACATAATCTTCCACCCTCTTGTGTCTTGTACAGATGAACTAGCCAAATATCCTCTGAGAAGGAGAGTCTACAAGAGTCCTGTGGACTCGCATTCAGACATGGCATCTGTCAGCTTCAAGCAGCCAGTAAGTCCATCTGACGGCTCCAACTTCGTTTTAGAATATATATATTTTTACATTATATACTATACATTTAAACATGGATTGCTGGTTCGTTGTGTATTTGCATACATTCTCCATCTAGCAACTCAATGTAATTGAAATGCAAATTAGGGGATTTTTTTGGTTTTGTTTGTTTTGCATAGCCTCCTGCTTGCAGGATCACATGGTGGTTGGTGTCTTTGTGTGCATGCATAGACATAAGCACATGTGTAGTATGTAACATGCAAATAGATGGTTACAGGACTGAGTAAGATGGTATGTTTTTACTTATTGAGCTGGCTTTAGAACACGTTAAGCAAGCCACCCTATTATTCAAGTGCATTGAAGTACATTACTTTCAATAGAAATGCATCTTAATGTATAGAAGCCGACCTTGATGGTAAAAATGGCTGTGAATATGCATCTGTGTATATCTTTAATGTTGGTCAATGCTGAATGTATTTATTGTGTTTTTCAGGGCGTTGAGAACAGCTTAGAGCGTGTGGCCCCACCCCAGATGCCAGTGCCAGGTAAAGCTGTGGCTCCTGATTGGTCGGTGTATCTGGTGCCATCCACAGAAGGCAGTGTCCCTCTCACCGCTTAATCACTTGATAATCATGGAAGAGCTGCTTTCAATTTGGCTTGTTTTCTAATATCCTTGTAAAATGGCCAAATAGCCACCTAAAACTTTATAAAGTTCTTGATGGGGGATGAACAATTTGAGCCTCTGTATTGTGATTTGGCCCATTGTATCATATTCTATGCAGAAACTAGTTTTAAAATTTGGTGCTTATGTCCAGGCCAGGGATTAGACATTTTTTATGACAAATGTCTCGTCTAATCTGCAGTCAACCTTTTAATTTTTTATATAATAGTCATTTGTTTATGCTTTGCTAACATCTGTTTTGCATGTGTTTGTTAGTCATCAGAGCCAGCAAGCCTCAGTACGCCAAACAATTTAAGACCTCAACACCTGAAACTAGGTCTCCTGAGCATGTGACCTTTGACCCTGACCGCATCAGCGCTTGGCTAGGCCAGACACATCAACTTTGCTCTAAAGCCGTCCAGACGGAGCATGTTTCACAGGTACAATTTGCTTGGAATCTATTCAAAGAAACCTGAAACAACTGTATTATGGTTTGCACAAAAACATTCAAATATCGGAAGTGTATGTATACGTTTGAGCTTCTCTGTCAGTAATGCTACTCATTACACCGTCTGTCAAAAATGGTTTAATGGCTCTCGTATATTGCTTTTGGCATTAACTTGATGTCAATATTATAGGATTTTTTGATGCGCAATTACTGTTAAACCAGTGGTATATCAGTCTCACTTATTTAGATGCAATAAATGGCCAACTGCTGCCGCTCATGTGTTTATAATGAATTGCAGCTCATAAAATCAGTCTTTGGCTTTTAAATATATTTAGCTGTCATGTACACAGCCATTAACTCTAACTAATTATATAAAATTTTTCATCAATGGTAGGACAGACTCATTAGGGTACCCATGTTGCAGCTATTGATGTTTAATAGGTAAATAATCCTGTATGAATTATCCAGTGGGGTCCATTTTTTTTTTAATGGATAAATGATAAATGCTATTAAATTACAAAATTGCACTAGTGGACTTCTGAGACCCCACTGTATGTTCATCCTACGTTTCATAGGCATGATCAAATCCAGAACAAAATCAGCAAGTTATGAATACTTCATTAGTAATCAGCAAGTTGTGAACTGCTTCATTAGTTTACATATTTAGTGCTGCAGTCATCTAAATGCAGAGTGGATGCTCGGTGTAATTGTGAATGGAGACATTTTTGCCAAATCTCATTAAGCAGTCACAGGCTGTGCACGTTATAACAGTCTCGACTCTGTAATGGTCATTATGCTGCTTTTCCACCTCACAATGACTTGCTGAAGATCTGTTTACTGCCTCAATTTGCTCTTCATATTAGGGCTGCACCATATGTATATGTATGTAGGTGTGTGTTTTAGCATCGATTTTGCAAAGTGTGCATCCGCAATAATTACATTATTTGATTTATTGATGTATGATTGTGTGCTGTTAAAGCGTCAGTTCACCCAAAAATGAATTCTGTCAGTCATCACTCACCCTCATATTATTCCAACCCCGTAAGACTTTCGTTCGTCTTCAGAACACAAATTAAGATATATATATTTTTTTAAATCTGAGAGCGGTCATAGGTTTCTATTGTAATTAAAACCTGCCAGCCCAGAAAATTTTGTAAAAACATTGTTAAAATAGTTCAAGTCACTACAGTGGCTCAACCTTAAGTTTATCAAGCGACGAGAATACTTTTTGTGCGCAAAGCCCCCCTAAAATAACGACTTAATTATTCACTTAATTAGTTATGTGAAAAAACACATACCGCTATGTCAGAACTTAGGCTCACTACTGGCCAGCATCACACTCAAGACCAGCGTTGGCCAATAGTAAGCCTATGTCAGAACTTAGGCTCACTATTATCAGCTATTTCATTTGTATTTTTGTTGTATTGTATTTATCTATGCTTGTAATTTGTTTATTTCCTACACACTTAGAAGAAAAGGTTCTAACAGCGCTACGTATTTGGAACCCCTAAAAGGTTCTATACAGAACCCTTTTTAAGGGTTAAATAATAAGAACCCTTTAGGGTTCTTTTTAACCAGGAAAAAGGTTTTATATGGAACCTTTTGGGTTCATTCATTATCATTTGTTTTATCCTTTCCAGATTAAATATCTCATATTATTGACAAACATCAAGACCCTAAAATGTATTTATGAATGCATGTGAATGATCACAAAATTCAAGATATGGGGGTTAGAAAATGTATATATTTATATAATTTTATGTAGTTAATCAATATCATACGAAGAGTGCCATTTCAGTTTTTCTCCTCCAAAAATCAGCATGATTAAAAGGTGATATTAAGTTACTATAACAGTTTAATAAATAATAATTGAATTACAACTATAAAATGTTGCAGAATAATGTAATATATAAATGAATAATAGCTTACAAAGAACCTTTGTGCCTTTCTAAAGGGTAAAAGGGTTCTTTCTTGTCATTATAGAACTTTTTTTAGCATAAAATGTTCTTTGGAGTTGAGTAAAGAACCCTATGCTTCATATATAGAACCCCAATGAACCCTTTTTTCTAAGAGTGTATGGTTGATTTACTCCCCTTCAAAATTGTTCTAGAATGATTAATTCTTCATAAACAATTTCACAAGTTGACATGAATAATCATTTATCACAATATATACAGTATCGCAGAAAAACAAAATTCACTTTTTTTTCCCATGTTGTGCAGGCCTAGTTCATATCTTTAATAAAAAATCCATAATATTTATCAATCTTTCTGTGGGAGAAAAAAGCCTATTTTAGGGGCATCATAAAAATGACACATTATTCAGCCGTGCTGCTAATTAATCCATCTCGAATGAATCTGTACTATCTCGACTTAAAAAGCTCAATGCTTCCTTTTAGAGAGGGAAGGGGGGTTGGTTTCTGGGAAAGAGAATCCTCTGCACTGATGCAAAGGCTGATTTGCCTGCCGAAGCCTTGGAAAAACCTTGATGAGAGAGGGACCATTTCCATTTCAAAGAGCCTCTTGTAATTTCTCGGTGCTCATGGCTAATTGGCAGCTTTACAGGGATGGGGAAAAGACCAGCCGCTCTAACTGGCTCTTTAATGGAAGCCGTTATTGTGGGCACAAACATAGTGGGGAACTGGCACTACCAAAGGGCCAAGAGCGCCTGTGTAATGTGTCACACGAAAAGGTAGAGGCAGCGTATCTGTTGGTCCCACTAAAGGACTCCAAGCAAATGAGAAAAACAAGAGAGCACAAAAAGACCTTATTAGTTAATGGAGCCCGTCTCTTTCAATTTACAAGCGCCTTTTGTAGCATAGCGAAGCTGTCACATGTAGTGAAAACTGTACTGTCCGCTCTTGGCAATCAAAAGTGTTTGTTGCTTCTGTGAATCTTTATAGCCTCGCTCCAGTTTTTCATCTCTGCCTTCCGGAAAGGAGGAGGAGGAGGGAGTTGATTACCAGGAGAACGAGCTCCTCCAGAGACGCCCCCACCCACAGCAAACTCTACACACATGCTACAACCTCTGCCCATCCTCATCATGTGACCCATGTCACGAAGACCCACAGGTATATCTCCCTCGTGCAGACTCTTACGTCCCAAACACCTCTCACACAGTAGCTTCAAATGTGTTACAAACTACATAACTACTTTTTGGGGTCACCTAAGGTTTGTGAATTAACCAGGCCTGTTAATGTGTAGCGAATGTGGCACCTTGCATGATTTTTATGATGTGATTTACACCTCGACACACCCCACACATAATTGCACTTGTAATGTGTGCCAGTGCCAAAGAGCTGGTAAACAATAGAGTCCCTTCAGGGCTTTGTTAATCTTAAGCTATTATCGTCATGTCCCTCTCTGTCACTAGAGGCAGCAGGAGAGACTTTCTTTCCCCGACTCATTGGAGGACAACACCTGTGCAAAGTCGAGTCGGTGAGGAAACTGTTTGGTTTGATATGGTTAGCACTAATTATGTATTTTGTTGTGATAAATAAATATAAAAAATCAGGATGCAGTTTTTTTTTTCTCTCTACACAGCTGGAAAAATAGGCATTAGAAATCCACTAGCATTCAAAAGTTTAAAATACTTTTATTCAACAAGTTTGCATTGTTAATCCAAAAGTGACAGAAAAGACATTTTATAATGTTACAAAATATTTCTATTTTAATTAAATGCGGTTATTTTGGACTTTCTCAAAGAATTATGAAAACAAAAACAAAATGGCTGAAAATTGAATTTTTAAATGCATAAAGAATAGTTGTTGTTGTTTTTTTTTTTAAAAATCAATATTTTACATTATTATTGGGTTTTTGTTTAAATAAATGCAGCCTTGTTGAGCATAAGAGATTTCTTTCCAAAACATTGAAACCCCCCAAACTTTTGAATGATGGTGAATTTGCCTCTCTGTAAATTCAGTATGTAAATCTAAAAGGATAGTTCACTCAAATATGAAAACTGTCATAATTTACTCCTTCTAAATTCTAAAATTGTCTTTCTAAATCTGGACTAAGAAAGTCTTATAATCAAAGTTAGTGTAGTCCAACATGTTTAAAGTTGTACCCAATATTCTTAGTTAACCTTGAGCCAGTGATCCAAAAAAGGCATGTTTTGGGTCCATTGGACTGCAAAAAATGCAATGAGAATCATTTGACAAAGTGAAGTCTCATGCTTCCCTGACCAGTGAGGCCTGCACTTAAGGACACGTTTTAAATGTTGTCATTTTTTTACATGAATCGTTGTTGTTGTTAAATGAAGGCTGTACTTAAACTCTCCCGTGAACCGTATTTGCAAATTTTAAATTAAAGCAAATTTACCTCACCAATGCATACCAAGCTTAAATTAAAATTGATGTATGCTCCTGGTGGGTCATTCTCTTGCTTTAGTCCTCATTAAACACTCCTGAAGCTGCTAACCAAAGTCTTTTGAATTGCTAGAAACTTTCAGGCACAATTGGAAATTGGCCCTCCATGAAGCAGGATTGGGCACAGCTGATTTATGCCAACTATCACCATAGCGGAGACCTGTAGGCAGTTTCTTTCTCCTATTAATGCTGAAAAATGGCTTTTTATCATATATTTTTCTGTTTCCAGTGGCCCGATTAAACCGAAGACCTCTACTAGCAGCTTATGGCAAAGAGCCCCCTGGCAGTTGTGTCCCCTGTGGTTTTTTGTCATCCTTTTTGCCCTCCTGCTTGCTGTGACGATCTGGTACCTCATTTCAGTCCACGATCACTCATGTCATCGGTCCAATACCCTGACCCGCTCATTTCACCTGGCCCTACATTATAAAGGACCCCCTCCCACCTGAGGACACAAACCGCAACAATTACAGTACAGTAATTACAGTAAGAGTTTAATAAGCACATATGGGGTTGTTTTTAGGGTTTTCCTTTTTTTTTTCTTCCATGAAAATGGAATGGGTCTGAAAGTTTTGCTATATGTTTGGCTGCATGGCCAGCACATCATAGATACATTGCCTAAAGATGGTCTTATATAATCTATGACTACTGTCCACATGCTTTATATATGGTTGGACTCAGGCCATCAAAGCCTGTGAGTGCAAACCCATGTAACAAGTGCACTTAATTCTGCTCTGACACTAATTTTCTCACAATGTCAAAGTGAGTAGTATAAAATGTAAACGATTTGATAGCTCTGGAAGCATCACTATTTAAAACTTGTTTACTTGATTTATTTTGACTGAAAATTAAGGATTTATTGGCCAACCATTATTTATAAGTTTGTTAGAGGCAGATTATGACGTGTGTGTGTGTGACAGAGAGAGAGAGAGAGAGAGCATTTGCTTCAAGAATTTTTGTTTAAAAAATATTGCTGAAAATGTTGAAGTTGAAGCCAATTTTGTACAGAGAGAGAATGAAACTGAACACAATACACATTTGATCAAGAACCGCTGTATTATATGCTGTAATCACGATAGCATTTTTAAAATGGGCATTCTGCACTGGATTAAATATTTTGCATCGGTCCAATGAAGAAGACCCAACCAGGCTTTAAAGCAAATCCTTGTGCACATCAAGGATCACTTTTGCACTGTTGTCCATTTTTAATGACTTCTATAATAAAAGAGATGAGTGAAAACAAGTGGTTGGCTGTGGATGGTGACACGGAATGAGTGATTCTCATTGGGGGGAAGCAGTCAGTGCCTTTCTCTGTGTATCTGGTTGGTGGACTTGCTGAAAGAAGGTTTTGTGCTGCTGCCAGGGAAGAACACTCAAAGAGATTATGAAAGAATGTTTCAAATTTCAATTTGCACACAAATGGTCTTAGTTGGAAACGTCTGCAGATGGCCTTTCAACCTCATCTCTGTCTGCTCAGAGCTCTTCTGAGTTCTGTAGTCAACACTGCAGAAAACCAAGTGTTCTGTGCATGCATTGCAAGCAAGCCTGTCTTTTGTTTGATGATGAGTTTATTTACTTGGCAGAAGCAAAAGCGGAGTCTCAAATTGAACCATATACCTCTGCGAGCCTAGAGCCCATAAACCCCAAGCAAATAAATTGTAGTATCACCTGAGGACAACATGAACAAACAGGGGGCGTTCTCTAGCAATAAAACCTTTAGAGGAAATAGCTTTTTCTGAACTCTGCCGAAGCATTGAAGGTCAGTGCTGCTGTTATAACTTTGGTAATTGCTGATATGAAGAGTGTTTGGATTGGGTGGAAAGGGGATTATGCGGTAATAGTTTCTATGAAAGACGACAGAGGAGAGCTTTTTAATGTCATGATCCTGATCCTTTAATTGCCTGAACCAAATGTTTTTTGTTTTTTTTAAATAAATGTAAATGCATTTTAATTTTGGCTCCTAACTCCCCAGTGTCCGTTATATGTGGCATTACAAATTGACACGGCAGATTTGTATCAGAAAATGACAAAAATGTGAGTTGGGACAACCTGACTCTGATTAGGCAGCATCACTAACTCAGTTTTGCAATGGTTACTCTGAATTAATATGATGCCACTGACCACAACAGGCCTTGCCTATGTCAGGGGAATTGCTATGCTTGAGAACAGAGGGAGCATTTTGTTTTTGCACCATTCAGCTGAAATGTGGCCGAACTAATCCTGAAGACCCAGCCATTTGAATGCCTTTGTATTTCAGAATGTTAGTAACACAACACCATTAACCATTCCTGTAAACAACATGACACACAGTATCTGACAAGTTTGGAGATGTAAACACTTTTGGTTGTATTTCAATTTTCAGTTTGTGCACTTGCGTGTTCTTACAGTGTACTTGCCTATAAGAAAGTGATATAAGGTAACTATGTGGGGTATAGCTTCAGAGTCAGGTTCTAAATCTATTTATTAACCAGTTGTTGCATGCCAACAGGACTGTATAATAAAATGCTACCCAATTATTAGGAAGTCTCTTATATTCACCAAATTTAAGTAAAAATGGCAATATTGTGAAAAAGAATGGAAAAAGATGTTAAAATAACTTTTTCAATTTGAATATATTTCATAATGTAATGTATTCCTGTTAAGTCAAAGCTGAATTTTCAGCATCATTACCCTGCTCCTTCAGAAAAAAGCAATATAGTATATACATTTATTTTCTTAACTAATAGAGAGCTTTTTAATATAAATTAAACCTGTTTGTTTTAGATTTTTTTCAATGCTATATTTTGGTCACTGGTCACCCTTACTAAATATGCATTTTCCAACTGTATATATTAGATGCCAGAAGGTCACAGTTTTTTGTTTGTATTGAAATGTCCAGTTTAATATACAAATAATCTCATACAACTTCTCTGTGGCTCATTTGTTCATTGCATGATTCGTTGGTTATTCAGACATCAGAACTATCTGCCGCTTGATGGACAGAAGTTTCAATTGCTTGCACCAAAGCTTTTTTGATAAATTCTAAAAGTTGCATTTCACAATTATGATCTGTTGTTTTCAAATGCCATTTCTGTGTCCTGCCAACACAAGTGGGCAAAGGTATTCAAGTAACTTAATGAGATAGCATAGAGCTAATCGACAGGATAGGGCACCATTGGCTGGGACCTCGGCTCCCACCACACCCTACCTCCCACACAGCAACACCAGTGATTGAGATCGACAGGCTGGCTGCTAATAAAGAGATTACATGGAAATCCCTCTGAAGCCAACACTTTAGGACAGCGCTCGTTTGGATATCTAGAACAGCTGCACCTCAAATATTGTCCATGCGTGAAGTTAACGTAACGTTTAGGCCGTAAGGGACACATTACCCAATCAGCACTTTACAATAAAAGGTCAATGAACAGTGCAGCTTGTCGGAGCTGTCCAATGGGGTGAAATACCAAACTTGCTTAATCGACAAATGTCTCTGTTTTGCATTTGCATTGCACCCTTTACTCTCAATTTGAAAGAGTTTCACCGCACTCATGGCAAACAAGGTGCCAGACAGATACCACTTGACAACCAAAAAAAAAAAAAAAAAAATTGTCTGCACACTTGAGTCCTTAAAGCAAAATTTAATGCCAAGCTTTCGGTAATACAACCATCCTCAGGGCATACTTATAGTCCCCGTGAAATCAAAATTGAACCTATTTACTTTGTTGGCGCATATTACTAGTCTTGTGGTGAACAATTAATCCGTGCAAGTAAATATATATTTAAAAAATGTTTTACCCTGGTAATCTTTAATCAAAATCTGAAAAGTTACTTCCGGTCTGGAATGGTTTCTTTTTTTGATGACGTAGGTTTCACAGCTTGGGTGGGGCAGAGCCATGTATTGACATGGCTCTGGGGTGGGGAAACGCTTAACCACTCCCCTCAAACCGTTAGTCTGCTATGAGCGAGAGATGGAGAGGAGGAGCGCTAGAGTAAAACCCTGCCCTCTGTTCAATATTCTCTTTCACTTGGAAATACGTCACAGCACTGGAGAAAAATCGTTTGAAACTTCCGGTTCACGGGGACTAGGGTCACTTCACCCATTTGCATTAAGCTTTGTATCTTTAGAAACCCAGTCATATTTTTGAATGGTCATGGTTTATTCCCTTATTTTCCCCTGAGATGGGAGAAATAAGGATTTAAGTGTTTTCTTTCCTGCTTATCGTGACGTAAAAATCGTCATTTTGCGTCACGATAAGCAGGAAGTCACATTTCATTGAAATGTCAACACACTACAATGATTAGCTCATTATTATTCAAGGGTGTGGCACCCACTCACCCACAGGCCTATCACAGATCAGTGGGTGGGACTTCACTTGCAGAAACTGAAATCAACATCCGCCATCTTGTTTGGAAGCTAAGCTAACAAGCACTGTGGAGACATGAAGTTATGATAATGATGGAAGAAACTAAACATGGAAGAAGAGGGTTTTGAAAGTCTGCTGCTCGAATCCGATGTTCGTGGCTATCTTTACGAGCTGCAGTATAGTTTAGAGCAGCTGAGGCTGATGAAGGAGCAGGAGACGCCTGGCTGTCGGTCGAGACGCCCGGACTGGGTCGAGCTCGGCGGCCTGCTGTTGCCTGTACTCTCGCTGCGTGTCACGGCCTACGGACACAGAGTCCGTCTGCTGCAGAGAATTTCAACGATGGCAATTTCTCCTGGAGGAAATCTCTGAATCAGACGAGCACACGGACGTTTGTGTTGTGATAGTTTCGCCTTCAGAACATCCAGGTATCATACAGTAATTCACCATACAGAAATAAATACAAACGCGGAGTAATTCACTAACGTTAATGTGTTTAAGTTACAAATGTAACGTGAACGGGGTTTGATGTTGTGGGAAGAAAGAGGCATGAACCGGCGAACATTTAAACATTTTAATAGTAAAATGAACAAATACAAAACGAAAGTAAGCCAGCGTTACACACAACAGAAACAAAACATAAAATCAGGCCTGTTTCTCTCTCTATCTGCCGTCGTCGCTCCCCATTTTATGCATTCGCTCCTTCGTGAGAGACGCACCTGCGCGCGCCTCACAGCTGTCTTTCATTATCACTCACGCCACCGGCCTCGCGCAGCACGCCGTCCTCTTACATCCCTCGCCCTCGATCGTCCTGCTCGCCACAGCCAACTAACTAGACATTTTGTTTGAAATGAATTTCAAACTCTTACTCTGGTAACAGCTAATGCTAGCGTTGTAGACGGAAGAGTGTGTTTGCGTCTCTGTTTGCGCTGTTCCGGTGGGTGGGTTAGTGGGTGTGGCTTGCGGAGCTGTGCAATGTTGGGCAATTCTGGGAACTGTAGTTTTTTAACACAAAGGCGCCCCTTGGTTATTTTCTGTCTTTTCTCAGTCAAGAGGGCACCAAATTAAAAAAAATATTTTACATTTCGACTACATATATGATCCACTTTCAATAAAGATTAATGTTGCAATGGGTGAAATGCTCCTTTAAACTCTCAACAAATTTTCAATTTAAAGAGACAGTTCACCCAAAAATGTAAGTCAAGTCATTTACTCACCCTCATGTTGTTACAAACGTTAGAACAAAAAAGATAGCCTATATATTTGTCCATGAAATGAATGTCAATGGGGTCAACATTTTTCAACATTTGTGTAACTTGAAATATATTTTTATTCAGGTCTGAAATTATGCGAGGGTGAGAAAATGAAAATGAACAACTTTTTTTTTTTTTTTTTTTTAAGTTGCATTGAAATGGAAGTAGTATCAGATATTATCCTCTGTATTGTGACATACATGTGAATGTAAAGGATTATCAAAAAAAAAAAGAAGAAAAAAAGTAGGTCAGTTAGTTGGGGGCTGCGTCTGAAATCACATACCCTCTTGATACTTATTTTGAATAAGTAATTACTTCACAACAGCTACAAAAGCATGTTGTATATAGTATGAATGTAATCTGGACGTACTAAATTCGCCATGTTGCCCTTATCATGTGAACTACCAGCATCAGTTGTCACATCACTGCCATTCACAAACCCTCTCCAGTAGCCTCATGGGATAGTAAAGTGTCTATTGTATGCACACTTCAGAATCTCACCAGAAGTAGGTCATCAGCGTTCCCTAATAGCTGAGGATGAGGGTGTTGCTGATGAAAATGAGCTTGCAGGGGTGGGTTTTATTGGAAGAGTCCTCCATACGTCACCAGAGAGATTTAACTTTAAGATCAGTTACAGTATGACATTTTGACTAAACATTACGGGGTGAATTTATTTTTCAAAACTCAACATGCACGGATGAAATGTTCTCAATAAGATCTATAATATCTAAACAGGGTGAATTATTAAGTTCATGCTGATTTTTTTTTCAGTGAATGTTATGATATTGCTTCATCGTCATCATCATCATCCGAACAGCAGCAGCCCAAGCAAGGCCAGGCCTTCTTTTGGACTAGATCATGCTTGATATAATCTCCCCTTACAGGAGTTAATGGATGTTTTGTGCCGGTGAGGAAATAAATAAGGAGGTGGACAGCCAAAAAATGCTCATTCCTCCAAAGTTCTCCGGTAGACAGGTTGCAGAGAAGTGAAGTATGCCAGAGCAATCTATTACACATGCTGAAGCTAAAACCTAATTACTCAGATTAATGTCCCATGGAAGGTGCCATTACCTAAATAGCCTCCTTAAAAAGAAGGAGACTTTGCTTCAGCCCAAATATGCGGTTTAAATGCTGATGGATCCTTCACATCTAGATTTGAATATGCACGTGTCCTGACTTTCTTCAGTCTGCTGCTGGAGTAAGATTTCAAGTGCAGCCTTTAATTCCCCTTCTACAGGCACTTCACTTGACAATGACAGTAAGCCTGCATAAGTCCTCCTTGCCTTCTCCAACTTGAAATATTTAACCAGGGCTGCCAGTAGCACAGCAAAAGGCTAAACTCATCACTTAATATAATGATTTCGTTCCATTGCACATCTCACCCGTTTAGTGTGGAAAGCCTGGATTGATTAAACTGCTTTTACTTCCCAGGCTAACCTTTATGGACCCAGCGTTGCGGCCACGGGGGCTACTTATCACTTCTGATCCCGGTGTTTACAGCTGCGTGCGGAAGCACGTGCTGGTCAGTCCCGCTACGACACAGGCTTCTTAAAATAAGACTTCGGTTGTGGTGGATGAGAGAGAGGGAAATGGAGTTGACAGTCGGAGCCGTGAGCTTGATGACGCGGCCTTCGGTTGAATCGGTCAGAGCAGAAGCACCCCACCCCCATCTTAACCCCTCTGCTGCTCACACACACTGCACATGCTGTCGCGAGGCATTAGCGTGGCAGATATACACACATTTGCTTTTTCCACCCCACCTGAAGCTTGGGCATTTCTCAACCGCGTTGCACTTGCTACATCTTCCCATCCCCACTCTTGAGCCTGCGTCAGATGTGCATTTACAGTCTTAGTTGCAGGTTTTTGTGAGCTGTAGAGAGAAGCTTGTGTGTGACACATCAGTTGATGACC